ACGCTGACCACAGAACGAGGAACAGCTCATGGTTCCGTCTCTGTAAATAAACAGGACTGTAACCTGGTTCTTTTGCCCTCAGGCGTCCGTCCTGGAGAACCTGCGCCTGGCTGTGCGCTCTCAGCTCGGCTTCACCTCCCTGAGACTCCCCTCTTCCGGTCGTCATAGCAACCTGTGGCGCCGCCTCTTCACCTTTTCGCGGTCGCGGCGTTCTGGTTCTTTGGCTCTGGTCTCTGCTGACCTGGAGGACAGCGCTGGGAGCACCGGAAGTTCAGGTTCTGACCTTCTGTCTCCGGACTCAGACGACACGGACACAGAGGGCGAGCGAGTGAGGGAGCGAGGCGTGGGCGCCGTGGGCGGCCCCGTCGCCCCCCTCCCTCAGAAAACCCCACCTTCCACCGCCGTGGAGGCCGTGGTTTCTGTGACAACATCCGCAACCTCCGTAAACCTGACGCCCACCCACGACCGAGGACACAATAGGCCCAGAGAGGCCCCGCCCCCCTCCAGATCTGTTACAGTGATAACCTCCAGTCCAGATCCTGAACTTCACAGCGACACCTCAGAACTACAGGCTCCGCCCACCTCCACTCTCCAGCGACTGGCCCAGAACCTTCATCGCCTTGCCAGGAACCTGACCAGAACCAGCCAGAACCTGCAAGACCAGACTTGGACCAATCACAGTCCACTTCGCCATCTGGAGACAGGAAGAGGCGGGACGGAGGCCAGCGAGCGGCGCGGAAGCAGAGAAGAGGAAGAAGACGTGGAGCTCCTGATCCCCGTCTCCGACTCTGACTCCTCCTCCTCCTCATTGGTCAGCGACGTGCGACAGCCGCTGCTGGAGCCACACCCCTCCTCTAACACAGGCCACGCCCCCCGCAATCACCGTGTAAACGGTGGTCGAGGAGGGCGGGATGGCCCCTGCGAACACTGCGGGATGGTCCACACGGCTCAGATCCCTGACGTCTGTCTGGAGGCCACCGGCAAGACTGAGAGCAGCGACGATGAGCTGCTGCTGCTCTGCTAACAGGCTAACTGACGGGCTAATACTGCTAACACAACACCTACAGCTAGCTAACATGCTAACTGACAGGTTAATGCTAATAATACCCAAAACCTACTGCTAGCTAACATGCTAACTGAAAGGTTAATACTAATAATACCCCAAACCTACTGCTAGCTAACATGCTAACTGACAGGTAAATACTAAAAATACCCAAAACCTACTGCTAGCTAACATGCTAACTGACAGGTTAATACTAATAATACCCAACACCTACAGCTAGCCTATGCTAACCTCTCTCAGTGCCAGCAGGATAACACTTCAGACTAGACTACAGCTAGCCAACATGTTAACAGATTATACTGGACTACAGCTAGAAGCATGCTAACACCTCAGACTGAACTAGCCATTGTGTTAACACTTGACACTGAGCTACAGCTAGCCAACAGGCTAACAGTTCCAAATGGATTACAGCTAGCCATAATGCTAGCACTTCGACTGGACTAAAACTAGGGATTATCTAGCACCTGTTAGCATGTCAGCTGGATTTAAGGTTAGCTCTCAGTGATGTCTGAGATGAACAGACCAATCAGAGACTGAGGCGAGTGATGTCACTGATTGAATTCTGATGTTATGAAACTCTCAGCTGTTATTCCCCTGGTCCGTCCGTTAAAACGCTCCCCTCCTCCCCGCAGGCAGACGTCCTGCTAGGTACGACTTCATGAACACTGACTTCCTCCTCATTGGTACGACGGTAAAATGTGTCCTGACAGAACAAACTGAACTTTAAACTCTGATCCAGATGATCTGATCCAGGAACCCTCTCTGCCTCTGAACCAGGACCAAGTTGGACTCACGATTTAAATGGTCCCCCCTCTGTGCTGGTTGGTGAGGGACGTGTGACCGACGGAGGTAGCCAAAGATAGCAGCTAGCAGGCTAGTTTTTTAGCCTAGCCTAGTGACGCTTGCTAAGTTGGTTCTCTGTTCACCAAATTAAACTCAAAGGTCCTCTAACGATAACAAGCTTTTTTGGAGCTTTCGACCGGATCATCAGATATGATAAGGACACCTGTTACCTGCAGTATTTATAATATACGCAGTTCTTCGTTACACCTTCCTGTGTTTATATATCTGTTCCTGATTATTGGCATTATCAGCAGTTGCAGGTCAGAGGCAGCGAGCAGTAGAACATTTATTCCCACTTCCTGTATCGGTCCTTGCCGCCGCGTTTACTGAAAATAAAGCACAACAACACGAGTCATCATTTTTATACTAGACAGCAGTTTGCTAGTGATTGATGCTAATGCTAGCTGGGCTACCTCCCAGGTCATGTGACCCTGATCACACTCATCATAGCGGACTGCACATGGTTCAGGTTCCCTTCTGGTTCCCTCCTGGTGTTTAACTTTCTACCTGTTCGGTTCTCTGAACATGTTCTTGATCTCTATCGGAATGTGTCTGTAGACTCTACAGGAACGTTCTGGGTCCGTAGACTCTACGGGAACGTTCTGGGTCCGTAGACTCTACGGGAACTGATCCATAGTAACATTCTGGTTCTCTCGACTCTACAGGAACGTTCTGGGTCCGTAGACTCTACGGGAACGTTCTGGGTCCGTAGACTCTACAGGAACAGATCCATAGTAACATTCTGGTTCTGTAGACTCTACAGGAACGTTCTGGGTCCGTAGACTCTACAGGAACAGATCCATAGTAACGTTCTGGGTCCGTAGACTTTACGGGAACGTTCTGGGTCCGTAGACTCTACAGGAACAGATCCATAGTAACATTCTGGTTCTGTAGACTCTACAGGAACATTCTGGGTCCGTAGACTCTACAGGAACAGATCCATAGTAACGTTCTGGGTCTGTAGACTCTACAGGAACGTTCTGGGTCCGTAGACTCTACAGGAACAGATCCATAGTAACATTCTGGTTCTGTAGACTCTACAGGAACGTTCTGGGTCCGTAGACTCTACGGGAACGTTCTGGGTCCGTAGACTCTACAGGAACAGATCCATAGTAACATTCTGGTTCTGTAGACTCTACAGGAACGTTCTGGGTCCGTAGACTCTACAGGAACAGATCCATAGTAACGTTCTGGGTCCGTAGACTTTACGGGAACGTTCTGGGTCCGTAGACTCTACAGGAACAGATCCATAGTAACATTCTGGTTCTGTAGACTCTACAGGAACATTCTGGGTCCGTAGACTCTACAGGAACAGATCCATAGTAACGTTCTGGGTCTGTAGACTCTACAGGAACGTTCTGGGTCCGTAGACTCTACGGGAACGTTCTGGGTCCGTAGACTCTACGGGAACTGATCCATAGTAACATTCTGGTTCTCTCGACTCTACAGGAACGTTCTGGGTCCGTAGACTCTACGGGAACGTTCTGGGTCCGTAGACTCTACAGGAACAGATCCATAGTAACATTCTGGTTCTGTAGACTCTACAGGAACGTTCTGGGTCCGTAGACTCTACAGGAACAGATCCATAGTAACGTTCTGGGTCCGTAGACTTTACGGGAACGTTCTGGGTCCGTAGACTCTACAGGAACAGATCCATAGTAACATTCTGGTTCTGTAGACTCTACAGGAACATTCTGGGTCCGTAGACTCTACAGGAACAGATCCATAGTAACATTCTGGTTCTGTAGACTCTACAGGAACATTCTGGGTCCGTAGACTCTACAGGAACAGATCCATAGTAACATTCTGGTTCTGTAGACTCTACAGGAACAGATCCATAGTAATGTTCTGGGTGTATAAAGAGAAAACAAAATATAGGAATTGAAACAACCATTCATGTGTTTGAAAGGTCAGAGGTCATGAGTCATGTTTACACTTCATATTAAACATAAAGGACTCAGCGATCCAGACTGGACCAGGTTCAGAACCTAAACCAACAGAACGAGATGGTCTGAGGGTTCAGTTCAATCTGGACACATTTACAAAGTGACATCAAAGTTCTGGATTCTGAACATTTTAATCCTTCCTGCTCCTCCTGTTCAGACTGACCCTCTCAGTTTTTGGTACTCGGCTCTTCGCTGACTCGTGTGACTGTATATTTATTATTATTATTATTGATAATGTGGTTGTTGTTACTATTATTTGTCATTGTTGTTGTTGTTGTTGTTGTTGTTGTTGTTGTGTTTCTCTGCCCGGCATGATTCCAGTCGTTGCTGTTAGTTTTCTTTGAGTCTGTAAAGTGTGAAACGGCACTAAAGATTAAAGGTTCACTTTCACTTTGTGTGGCGTGTATTTATCGTGTCAGAAAGAACGACAGAACGTGGAGCGCTCCGCCTCCCTCTGCTGGTCAGACCGAGGACTGCAACAACATACCTACGTCACGAATCCCCTGACTCCGGCCACGGCACGTTGCGGCTGCGCCACGGTTTTGATGCGTCCACTGGAAGCGTGTTGGCAGCAGAGCGTGCACCTGAACCACGTTTCGTTCCGTCAACTTCAGGCTGCATCTCCCACAGGGAGCATTTCAGAATAACATTTTGCTGAAGTGTTTAGATTTGGTGATCAGTGTTTGCATCTGTGCTTCTACTCTAATTCAGTTAAATGATTTCTCTTTGTGTTTATTGTTGTTGTTTTACGATCGGGAGTCTCTACAGTTGGGTGTTTTAGTTTGAAAATTGACCGGATTCTCTCTGCCGTTCTGTGTCTGACTTCCTGCCGGTTCGATCTGCTCTGATGAGCGGACTCACCAGCATCGACTATAATGGTCGCGATTAGCCCGGGAACCGCGCCCCAGTCGTAACACGCTATAACCGGAGTCAGTGGATTTTAGGGGTTCCTGTTTCTCAACCTGAGGCTGCGGCCCCTCCAAAGGACGCTTCAGCTGGGTGAGTCTGTACTTGTTTTAATGAGACATTTAAACAGAAACATTACCAGGAGAATAGAAATATCAACATGTTCCGAGTTTGTCACAGAACCTGAAAGTGTCTCATAAATATGTAAATATTTACATCAGAATATTTAAAATTAAGATTTA